GGACAGGTCGCTACCTACTACTTCGAGGTGCAAAGCCTTAGTGCTAAAACAAATGAAGAGACATAGGTAGCATTTAATTATTTTGCAACCGCGTCCTTTGCGATTGGTAATGTAGAATGGCCCAGCGAAGTCGACGCTGCTGACGTGGAAAGGTTGGTTTGGAATCACTCTGCCAGACGGTAAGTTTCCCATTATGGGATAGAATGATTTCGCTTTCATTAATTTACAAAGTTTGCAATTATTGACTGTCCCTCGTGCCAAAACTCTGCCTCTTAAAGGTCAAAATCTATTGCGTATATTACTTAGTAAGAGTTGAGGCCCGCAATGGAGCAGTTTTACATGTTGATGTGCAAACAGTATCTTGGTGAAATTATTATTAGAATCTAATAGTACAGGATGCTTCCTTTCATAAGGTTCATCAGAATTTTGCAAACGTCCCCCTACAGAAAGAATGCCATCATTATTGAGAAATGGAGTGAGTGACAAGATTCGCGATTTTGAAGGTAAGCTTTGTTTGTTTTTTATCGTTTTTATTTCGCTGGCAAAACATTTACTTTGATGTTGTTTTATTAAAACTTTAAGGGCACTGTCTAGTTCATCAAGATTTAAGGGACCTGTAAATTTTGGTTTTTTGTTTTTTAAATTGTATGATGTATGCAGTGGACCTCTGAAGTCTTGTGAAGCTTGAATGTCTGTCAAACTCCACAACACCGCAGACATCCGCAGCCGATGGTTGGTTTATATATACATTGTAGGTTAAATAATTTTGAAGAATTTATTTTAATGGATTTGTCAGTTTTTGTTTCAGGGAGATCAAGAATGTTTCGTGATCCTATGTTCTGAGGCCAGTCACATGGGTCCTCCGTAAGAAAAGATGGACCCTCCCACCATAGACGAGCAGATTGAATAGATCTGGGGTTTACTCCTCGAGATGCTAGGTCTGCTGGGTTTTTGTCTCCAGGAACGTGTCTCCAAATGTAGTTGAATTTCTACAAATTGACGAAGAAGAGTATGTCTTGGTATTTGAAATTCTTTAATGGATTCTGAATTTTTTGCAAAACTGCCATTCATTTTCTGACGCATCATCCACTGGATCGTCCCATTCCAGCTTTGACAGCCACAACCATTGTAAAATTGTTCTAGGAATGATGGTACATGGACTAAGTAAGCATAATGGGTCAAAGAGTTTAGCCGATTTAGAGAGAATGGTTCGTTTTGTTACTGGCTGTTTTTGTTCCATATCGACTGAAAATTGTAAAATCTCATTTTAAGGATCCCATTTTAGACCTAGAACGCTTGATTGTGAAGATAAGTCAAAAATTTTGTTTGAGACGTGTCGGCGTCTTCTAGAAAGATGCTTGGTGCATTCGTTCGCCGTTTTCGTACAAAATCGACGATCATCTTCACGACGGGTAGTAGAAGAGAATAATTTTTCAGAATAATCGTATTTATTAAAGTTTAAATTAGATGGTATCTTAAGTTCCCAAAATTTGCTAAGTTGTTGACTAATTTCTTTTGAAAAATGGCAATGAGTTTTTTTTATTATTGTTAGTGGCATAGTAGCTGTCTGCAGTGGGACCAGCCACTATCCACTCCAATTCTGTTTCTTGTAATATTGGCCTATGTGGCCCTAAAATTACCTTACTCGGTTTTAGAAGTTCCCAAAATATATCTGCGCCTAATAACATATCAATTTCAGATGATTGATGGAAATTTGGGTCGGCAAGTTTGACAAAACTAGGAATTCCCAAATCTTGTATACGCACTGTAACTTGAGGTAATTTGTCTGTTATCTGAGGTAATATAAAACATTTGATCATTGCGCTAAATGAATTGTGTATTGACTGAAGATGTAGCTGACAATGTTCTGTTACATTTAAAATAGAATTCCCTATGCCTGAAACACATTTATAATGATTATCGTTTCGTAGCAAACCAATTTTCCTCTGAGCCCTTTCGCTGATGAATGAGGACTGGCTTCCACAGTCCAACAAAGCTCTGAGAGTGAATGTTTGGTTATTATTATTTATTTTGACTAATGCCGTGGAGAGGAGTGCTTGACCACTGGAGGTAGCAGACATAGTCACAGAAGTGGAGCTAGATGAAGAATCAATGGCAGGAGTAGGTAAGTTGCATTCATTTGTAGTGTTTGTACTTTCATTGTTGACATGATTTATTTGTGATGATTGTAATGAATTTTGTTTGTGTATTAATGTATTATGTTTTTTATTGCAAATTCTGCAGCCACCCAGTCTACAAGAGTAAGCCTGGTGGCCACTACGGAAACAATTATTGCATAGTTTTAATGAAGTAAGTTTAGAAATTCGCTCACTAACGGGCATCGATTTAAATATAGTACACTCATATAATTTGTGATTTTGTTTACAGATGGGACAAAGTCTGAGTGGGGATGAAGGAGCAACAGCGGAGCCAACAAAAGATTTCACGTTAGGAAGACTGTGCCGTTTTTCATATTTATTAATTGAGAGTTTGCTAGCATTTACAGTTTCTAAAACAGTAGCTCGTTGACGAAGAAAACAATAAAAATCCTCCAATGTGGGAGAATCCTTATTACTCCCATATTCCTCCCATGTTCTAGAAGTCACACTATCCAACTTTCCTGAGGCCATATAAATAATAATCGTATCCCACTTGTCAGTCGGTTCGCCTAGTGAATTTAACGCATTTAAATTTTTAGATAAGGTATCAATTAAATTACGAATACCGCTGTACGATTCCTTAGTGAGTTGTTCAATTGAAAACAAACATTCAATGTGCTCATTTATCAAAAGACGCTTATTATTATACCGATCGCAAAGTACAGACCAGGCAATTGTATAATTATCTGATGAAACTGTGACAGAATTAATCACCGAAGCAGCCGGCCCTTCCAAATATGACTTAAGATAATGAAATTTACTAATATTATCAAGGTTTTCATTCTCATGTATCAAAGATAAATACATGTCGCGAAAAGCTAACCAAAGATGTGGATTTCCATTGAAAGGAGCAATTTTTAATGGCGGTAATTTAATGTTGATATTCTTAGAACTTGTGTTACATAAAGATTCCACTTTTTGTTTGTTTTCAAAGAATTCCAACAAAGATTGAGCTTGTGCAATCAAATTAAAGAAGTTATTTTCTGTTGTTTCCCGTTCTTGCATTTGTATAGTGGTATCTTCATCCAACATTTCTATTTGCGATTGAATTTCCTCGAAATTGCACGACAGGTCACGCACTTTATTACAACGCAAACGCAGTTCATTCAATATAACCGGAGTAGTTTCTTTGCAATCTAACAAAGGCAACAAATATTTCTCAAATAATGTTAAACGAGCTCTTATTTGTCCCCTTTGTTTGATAAGATCCTTTAAGGTACTCATTTGCCGGCGAAATAACGATTAAAACACTAAAATATTCAATGTTTACACGAATACGAACTAAATTTACAAATAAATAATAATGAATAGTGTACGTTACGTTGAATGCCGGGAGTGGAGATAACAATACCGGTTTCGCAGCTAGTGGCAGGCACTGTGCACGCTTGTTGGAATGCGCGACTGCAACACTCAGCAGAATCCGAATTAATTTCTTGTATTGAATTCCGTTATGCACCTGGAATTATTCAGCATTCGTGTTTAAAATATTGTAATTACTTTATTTTTAAATAGAGGACGCTTTTATATTTATTGGTAACGACAAATTGTATTCACTTGTTACACTGTGTCTGACACTGTGTAACACAGCGCAACACAAAATTTTAATATTGCAAAATAACGGCTAATTACTATAAATATATGGGGATTCAGGAATCAATATCCAACAAAACACCGTTTTAAGCTAATATATGTGGTATTAAAGATGTATTTTAATGAAAAAGATGCAAAATGTAAAATATTTTTTATGCGCGGGTGGTTTCGTGCACTTTTAACTAACGAAATTTTACTCACGCAAATTAAAGTAAGTGGATGGAATAGGTGAATAATAATTTTAGGAATATTAGCGCACTTCCCTCGGAATGATGGCTGCAGCTGGATACTGGCGAGTTCCTGAAGGATAGTCCGTCTTCCCAAATTAGATGTCGATCTGAAGGCCGATCAGGTTGCGATCGATTTTTCTTGATTTGATCACGTCGGGGTCACCATTTGATTGCGATAGGTGTCTGATGAAATGAGACTCAACTGCTGGATAACTAGTTTACTTGGTTTTTGAAGAATTATAAAATATATGTTACAATAATAAATTAGATGTTGCTGTGATCGAGTCTCGAACCGCAATGATTTGACGTATAAAAATGACGTGCCGTCGTTCAGAGTTGTTGCCGCTGTTTTTCACTCAGGCGTTGTGTGGCCTGAACATCTGTTTTTTTATTGTAGTGCCTTTTCGTTACAAAGAATGATTTTTATAGACCAACTTTTAGATATTTATAAAATATCTGCAAATATCCCGCGCTCTCTACCTCAGCTCTTATCAAACAAGAGTTTTTATAAACCTATTTACCAGTTTATCAATACGACCGTTATTGATATTTAATTTTGATTGTTTCATTACAATCACATCTTCATACCTCTAACTTGACTAAAGACCTTGATTTACGAATTCACAATTATGACTAGAGAATAAGCCACGAATTGGTTAATTTTATTAAAGACTCCTGATTATGACTTGAAAATATTACCTTAATGAAAACTATTCTTGACATTACTACTAATGACAATGAGTGACAATGACTTATACACAAACGACCTGGCTTCGGCCTTACTGAAAAAAAACACAAAAGAAGACAATAATAAAAAGAAAAATGATAAGAAAGAAGAAGAAGTACTTTGAAGACAAGATATCTAAAAGAAGACTTGGCTCCGGCCTCAAGAAAAAAGAAATAGAGCTTATCAGCATATATTATTTAGAACATATTTATTTTTGAAATAATTAACTAAAGAATTGGCTGTATGGGCACAGTACCCTTTGCCTACCTAGAATGGGTAAAGAAATAAAAAAAAATGTAGCGAGTTTTTTTGGCGAGATTTCATGGAGTGCGGACGGCGTCTTATTTCAATTATTCTTAAATTCGTTCATAGTGGATATTGTGAAATAAAATTGGTGTGATTTTGTGTAACAACCGTTTGCGCAATTGAAGAATTAGTGGAATCTTCAAAATATACGCTATTCTGGTCAAGTAGACGTGAGAATTTTATTGTAGTATTGACTACCTCACAGAAGCTTATCGAAAAAGCCAACTCGATATATTTCATGCCAAACACTAAGAAGCATTAGAATGCGTCACACCGACGTTCTAATGTAAAAATAAAAACAGAATAATTTAACTTAAGACTAGGCTGTATGGGCATTGTTCCCCTTGCCTTCCCTGAAAAGGGAGAATTTAACAAAAAAGAACTGTCTGTTCTAAAAACAGCAATTTGTTTGCGACAGTGCAGTGCAGTGGTTGCAAAATTAATTTTTATAAAAATGTTTCGTAATCGCTGTATCTTTAATTCAAAACGTTTTTCTTTGCGTAGTGTCAATAGCATCCGAAAACAGTCATTTTTGACGAATGATTACAAGTGCCATGAAGCCTGGAAGGAACAAACTTTTTCTCCTTTGGTTGATAAAATAAATCTTAACGATTTTTATAACAAAATAGACACGAATCACTCTTCAAAAGGAGTAATAAGTGCAATTGATGTTGATATTTTTGCTCATGCAGTAAGAGAATCAGTGCACCTAGACGAACTGCGGGACTTACTTCATAGACTAAGACTTTCGGCAGAAACCGGTAACATGTTGGAATCAACACATCATGCTACAGTCAGGAATTTTATGGAATATGGAAATATTCAAGAGCTTATTCACATTTTAAAAGATCCTTTGAACTTTGGGCTATTTCTTGATGAATTCTCTGCTAATATTATGCTGAATAAACTAATTACAACTTCAGAATATGAGCAAGCTGCTAATGTTGCTGCTTTAATAATGTTACAAGAAGATTATAATAATGATATCACATGTTCTTTATGTTTGTATGCTTGCTTTAAATTTATTATTGGCTACACAAAGCCAGTCGACTCAGAAATTAAAATTGAGAAAAAACAGAAAGTTGAAGAAATTAAAATAAGAGTAAAGTTCCTAAGAAATCCATATTTTGATGACCACTTTGACATTGATGATATTTATTTATTATCTGGCAAATCCTTGGCTTGGTTATCAGAAAAAAAATCGGGGAATTTAAATATTAATTTGCAAATTATAGGATGGCTTTGTTATAAAAAATATGATAAATTACTAAGAGTATGTGAGAGTTTTTCAAAGGAACAATCAGCAATGATCTATACTGAAGTTATAAACTTAATGAACAAAGAGATCAACAATGTAAATGAAGATCTTAAAACTACATTAAAAAAATCTTTGTCTTTACTGAGTCCAATGAATTTAGCTAAAGAACCTATGGAAGAGGCGATCAAAATTATGATAGAAAATTCAATAAACAGAGTTCAAAAGAAAGATATTAAAAAGCAGCTGGAGGTAATAATTATATTGTGCGGTACTAAATTCCATTAGTTGTGGTGGAATTTCGAGGTAGTTTTGATTTGGGGGGGAGGAGGGCGTCTCCCCGACTCCCCCCCTACTAAAGAGTTTAGTCGGAAATGCATGTTTTTTTTAATTAACCTAACCTAAAAATTCATAATTTTTTTAGGATGCAAGGACTAGGGAAGTAAGAACCAGTAGTTCTGCCTTATCTCCGGCGCTGCTGGAATAGCAGCCCCGCCGCCTTTGCGTGACAAAATCATAAGCATCACTCTCCTTCACACCTTCGGCTTGCCGACCAGCCTCAGGCGCTACGGGTCGCACGATGCTTGCGGCTTTGTCACAGCAGGCGGGGGCTGCTCTCCCTACGCGCCTCCAGGCTCTAAAAAACACTCTAGGGGTAGAGCAGACCAAGACCACGGCGTGTCGGGGTTGACCAAGTCGGTTCTGAATTAAAGATTGTTGTAAAGGCACATTTACCTTTTTTTGTAAGTGTGGAGCCCATACTATTTCTTATTTACCAAGTAAATAATAGCAAATATACTTTTTACCGACGAACACAGACTGACTGACATTTCTCAAAACAAACACAAAACGGCGGGACATTATGTCATTTTGACAATAGTACCAACTAAATCAACATATTTTTACCATAGACAACGAGAAACATATTATTTCTGCATGAAAAAATGGCAGCACTGATCAAAATGGCTGTCAAAATTGACTTTAACCTACAAAAATATTAATTTTCAATATTTTTTTTCTCGAGTTCTATTCGTTTTCGAATAAACAGATTTCGTGTGTGTGTTCCTAATAATTAATACTTTCCGTGACAAAAATCTTAGCTCGCTACTCAACCACAACTAATGGAAAGCTGGGCCTATTTTGCTACAAATTAAATAGAGATCTAGGTTATTTGTATACTTTAAGTAATTATTACAATATTTACTTTTTATAGTCAGGTTTTTTTTTATATATTTTGTTTGATTATTGTTACTTAACAACATATCGCGAGTAGAATTGTTCTTATGATAGTATGACAGAACTGAAATCTTTTACTACTAAAAGTATCACCTTATTGCAAGCTTAATGGCATCTATACTGATCATACTTATCTAAGGAACTGTACACATTAAATTTGTAATGAAATTGCAATTGTGTGAGTTATAACCTTAGATTAAAACAAAAAGGGTAGATACGGTACGCTCATACTTGCATCAAACAAAAACTGATCCCACTTAACTACGTATGCAACACTCACACATCCACCTGTTTGTAAAGATACAATCGAATGAACGAAACAGCAATTTAAGTTTCAACGGCAGCGCGAACGGGACGGCGAGAACCGCGTCACTGCATTACCGACCCGAACGAAACAGCACGTTAAGTTTCAACGGCAGCGCGAACGAGACGGCGAGATCCGCGTCACTGCACTACCGACCAATCACGCGACTAGAACTCGACGTCATTACAAACAGCAATTTTTATGAAAAAATATATTTTATAGTACTTACGAATGAAAAGTGATGCCGTGGGTTTTATTTTCAGTTCTTGAGCAATTTGAGCACTTTTTAAAAACACACTAAGGCATTGTTTTATCATATAAACACAAAATATTAGAAATTTTTCTTTTTGGCGTTCACATGTACGTCGTTTGAATGTCAAGTTGTGACTAAAGCGATTGTGGTCTTGGGTCACAATTTATGCGGAACACTTGTGAGGCTAGTGCCGTATCTACCCTTTTTGTTTTAATCTAAGGTTATAACACATTTTTCTTGTACCTTTTCAGTTATTTCAGTTTTGGACAGATATCAGGAAACAAAAACTAGCTGAACAAACCAATCGTTTGGATAGAGCCAAACGCATTGAGTTAATTGATCAAAAACAAAGAAGTCTTAAGGACGAGGAACAGAAGTTATGGTTCTTTGATAATGAGGACAGTATTGATCTAGAAATTGAAGAAAAAGATAAAACTGCTGAAATCATTCCCACCAAGAAAACAAATTCAAAAATAGTTGATGAAGATTATATTCCTCCAGAAATCCTGCCAAACCGAAGATAAAACTAGAAAGGAGATAATAGAATAAAATGCAGTTGTTTAACTAATATATTTTAGGCATTTTTATTTATTATGACGGACTCTGATGTGATGCGTAGCGTTCATCTATCTGCTGCATTTTGACATAGGGTTTCTAGAACATTACTTCTGTGGCATTTTGCATAACTTTAGAACCTATGCCATAAGTTACTTGATTTAAAATGTTAAACTGTGTTGTGTTACTTTTTAATTGAAAGAAAATGCCAAATCTTGTATAGCTATAAATAATTTCTTTTGTGATCTTAGTTTTTATGTTTTAAGTAACATAAAATAAGTCTATCTTTATAAACTTCTTAATCTTCTCAAACAGAATATAAAATCTTTCAAGTCCGAACTATTATTGAAATGGCTGGCTTTATTTCGGGAATTTTCAAATTCTTGAATGGTAACACTAGATGTGTTGTCAAACGGCCGCTACGCCCCTCACACCCCAAACTCACTGATGCAATCGGAAGTTCTTCTGATGCGTCAGCAACATTGATGGTACTACTGACACAATATTACGTCATTAGTCACCAAAAAAAAAGTCGAAAAAATAATGAAAACCGGAAAAACAAAACAGGATTAGATGTTACACTTGAAAGTCAGTTCAATTGGTCCTAAAAGGAAAAAAATAACTTATTTTTATTAACTTTAAAGTTACATGGATGAATGATTGGTCTCGCTTCGTTAGAGAAATAATTATTTGTAAATATCAAGAACTTTGTTTTCTAAAACAAGATAAAACCAAAAATTTAGATGAAGATGATTAAATTTTTTATTGAATTACAAAGAGAAAAGTTCGGCAAATAGGAATGAAAAATGATGTCTTGCAAATGTCCACCACGAGCACGCTGACAGATGTTGATTCTTTCATCAAAGTTTTTAATCACTGTTTGGCATTTTGGCAAAATGGCGGGACTATTTCGTTAATCACATCACGGATTTGAGTTTTTAAGGCTGCAATCGATTCGATTGTACCATACCAACATAACTCCACAAAAAATAATCTAGTGGTGTTAAATCACATGATCTGGCTGGCCACTTAACAGCTGAGTTTAGTGAAATTATGCGATCGGGAAATTTGGTTTGCAATAAATTGATCGTTTCATTGGCTGTGTGACATGTGGAGCCGTCCTGTTGAAACCACATATCAGTGATATTCACGTCATCAATAATAGGCCAAAATTCGCCATTTGGTGGTTCTGGATAACCCAAATTGTTGAGAACGTCGCAGAATTGACAAATTTGGATCTGCCTCAACACTGTGGCTCACGGCTGCGATGCTTTCAGTTGAACGACCCGGTCGAACACGCGATGGTGTTGGCACATTTTGTATCGAGCCTGTCGACTCAAAGGACAATGTTAAAATTGGCCTAAGAACCAACACCAATTTGGCATTTATGATAATTTTTAATATATTTTTTGGGATAATTACCAGTATTTAGATTGTGACGGACACTTCCAGTTAAGTAAGCTAAATTAAAAAGTTAAAAAATAATCTGAGACAATAAATACTATCTATGACAGCGCTGCAAACAAAACACTCTTTCTTCCTAATGCCGGCACTTCACTTGGCTATTCGTATTTGCTATTTTATAACATGACATCATTCTGTCCTTTTCATTCCTTATTAAGCATGACAAGGACAAACTGTTGTTAAGTGAAGGGCCGGCATAAAACTCGATACTCTGTGGTTGTGGTGCAAGCAGGCAGTTTGCATTCGTAGTAATCTGTGGCATTCGTGCATTCCAAAAGAGTAGTTTATTATACAGAAAAGTGCATTCTCGTTTGATATTACCTGTTGTGTGTGTTTATTTGCGATTGTTTTTCCTATAATTTAACTATTTCGACTATCTAATATGCCATCGATGTTACCAAAGAGTTACCTTATTACCAAGTGCTAGTGAACCTGTGCCACAATATCCTGAGAGGATCATACTGCCAAATTATTCAAGAACACCTGATACACCTTCACGCTGCATATTTACACAATATACATGTGATATATAAATAAATACCATATACAATATGATACAATTATGTGAAAAATAGTCAATAAATAAGAAGCAAAACTACAGTTTTTATTTTATTCATGATTCCTACCTATCCAAGGTTTTCCTTGTTGTAATATTAATTAGTTGTAATATTAATTCACTCCATACTAAGTTCATAGGTTGACCTATGTTTCGATGAATATTAAACATAACCTCAAATAACATTTAGTTATCCTAATAATTTATGTTCTCAGAAGTGTCCGTCAATAATCTTTGTTTTTACAGTCATTTACTTACGATTTCGAACCTAGAAAATAATATTTCATGATTGTTGGTTCTTAGGCTAACTATGTATGGACGCTGAACAATGTCCTTTAACGACCAATTCTTAATAGCGGTCTCAGCAGGACGATTATGTTGTCCAAAAGTATCACGAATTTGACAAAATGTAACTGTAACAGAACCACTATTTTCATAGTGGATTTTAATTATTCTAATTCGATTTTCAAGCGAAATTGAATTCATTGTAATAATTGCCAATGCATCTTCTACGAATACGTCAAAAAACTAACTGTGAAAATTATCATATTGTTGGTGTAGCCACAATTCAAAAACAAAGTTCTTGTTGAACAACCCTTTATAAGAGCCAGTATAATTTAAGGGCACGGCCAGAGTGCACTCAGATTCAGACTCAGAAAACAAGCGTGAGAAATATACAGTGTAGTTTATGCAGGTTGCCTGCGGCCACTATGGCCACCCTGCTTTAACTACACTGTTTATTTCTCGCGCTTGTTTTCTGAGTCTGAATCTGAATGCACTCTGGCCGTACCCGTACCCTAAACCTTTAGGTTCTTACATCTTTTAATCCTGTCTTATATTCATTTGGGGAAAATCCTTTACAAAATGGATTGCCACACGAAGTCAGCACATAAATTATGAAATAATTTATATTTTAAATGCGAAAGTTTGTATGTTTATTACTCATTCACGCTAAAACTACTGAACGGATTTGGACTGTCACACAAACAAAAGAATTTTTGTAACGGAAAAAAGATTCCTGAGCCGTGCCTATGGGATTCTCAAAAAACTAAAGATAACGCGAACAAATCGCGGGCGGCCGCTATATTCTGAAGTTTCTTATCCTCATCGAGGAAAAGAAGGTGAGATATAAAACTTGAGTGGTCCTGTTATGTGTAACAGAAGTTGGGTCAGGGTGGCGAAATTAAAATGCGATTATATTAAGTAACGTGTTCAGTTATTACAAATACGAATGAAAAAACTACATCCCGGGCCCATAAAATAATCTCGAAATAAAGAATTAAACAAAAGTTTAGACTACGCAGAAATAATTAGTTAATATAAACAAAACCAATGCATGGCGGTCAATCAATCCTTAGTATTGGGGCCCGGAAACGCGAGTTTTGTAAAACTCTATAACGTAAGTAATGGTATTAAATAAAAACGTTTTTTCGATCATAAAATTGTTGGTCGAATGTTTTTTTATTAATAAATATAACCATATCAAGAGAAAGTATAAAAATCGATGGTATATAATTCATCGAGGTACGTACAGGTACTAGTGACGTAATAGTGTGTCTGTAGTACGATCAATGGAACTGATCAAAGGTACATCTGACATAAAGCGCGATATTTCGAATGAAGTGCAATTCCAAGATCATTTGGCAGAGAAAACCATACTAGCTTGCACAAAGCTTGGGGTGTCCAATAGAGCGAGAAAGTACTTAAAGTCTTAACACCGGATATTGCTTTACAAAGCACATGTCCGACCGAATAAAGAGTGCTATAGGTACTCACTTCTGGGCTGGAGCACCCCAATACCAGCTCCTTTCTGACCGGATACAATGTTAATTTCTTGCGTACCAGCAAGCTCTGGAACGAATTTTCCTCAGCGTAAACCTTTTTCTTCAGAGTCGGCAAGACGTCCCTTGGTGCTGCAAGTGTCCATGGGCGGCAGTGATTTACCATCAGGTGGACTGCCAGTTAATTTGTTTGCATTGTCATGAAAAAATATAACAACTATGACTTCCCATTTGCTTCTGCTAGTTTCTATTGCAGGATCTAGTCAATTATCTCATTCTTCAGTCAATTACTAAAAAAATAAGCACGGTACCGAAATATCGACTTTAAAATAACGATAATTAAGTATCCAAAACACAAGTCAACTTTGGAGTCCGATTTATTAGAGAAATGTAAAGAAAATATACCATAAACTTTTTATCTATCCCTTGTTTAATGTTGTACCTAAATGATACTGCTGGGGATCATTGGACTTTTATTTCCAATAATCCCCACAAAATTTTGTTTACATAGCCAATGGGGATTTCTAGAAAAAAAAGTAATAATTCCCACTAGTAGGTATATCCCTATTATCAGTGGGGATTTTTGGAATAAATGATCTATACCTACGTTAACTTAGATGTGAAATGTTATTCTATTCTATATTTTATATACTTATTGAAGTTTAGTTTTTATATCCTTTTACGACACAATTCGGCATTTTTACTTCAAAAGTTTGGTATTTTTGATAATTTTTTGCTCGACGTACTTTCCGCGCCATTGCCCGACTGACAAGTTCGGTCTTAGGCCGTATACAGAAAGAAAGCTGGAAGCCGACCAGCGCTTATCAGCGCTTGTCGGTCCTGGTCCTTACCGGTAACCGGCGCAAGCATTTCTATGGACCAGCGCCGACAAGCGCTGGACAGCGCTGGCACCGCCCTTTGAAATTAATGAACAACTACGCTTCAATTTGCTTCCTTTATGTAACTGTTACCAGTAAGGACCAGCGCCGACAAGCGCTGGTCGGCTTCCAGCGTTCTTTCTGTATACGGCCTTAGTTTCCTTGTACGTCAATTTGTGTACATACACAGCGGCGTAGCGTGGCTCTAGACACCCGAGGCAGAACCATAATTTGCCGCCCTTGTGACGATATTATAATATTATTTTTTCTGTATGCTTTAGTTCCCGGGTCAGAAGTGATCCGGTCCTATAGGGGGTAGTGTGGGAAT